CTAAAAGGAAACGGAGAATCGGAGATGGGAAGTGAAAATTATCTGCTCGTAAAATTCCGTTTTGTCGGCGTATTTGCGTAAAACTGCGCGCGCTTATTGCTTAACAGACGGTGTACTCGCACGATTTCTTTGACCGGTGAAAGAATAATAACGACGTGGCGTTACCGTGTCTTATCGTCGACGATACCCCATGTTAAAGAACGGGGATTACAATGCAAAATTGCCCCGGTGTCCGACAGTAATTTCCAGAGTCGTTAACCGATTGTGAGAACGGGCAGATACGAAAATGAAACGTGAAATTACGAATAAAACATACGCGCGAATCGACTTTTACGATTGCCGCGTGAAAAACGCGCATGCGTCGTTGCGTTTCCCGGCTGCGGCCGCGCCGATTTTTTGCACCACTTCGACAAACATTTCCACCATCGTTATGCCCTGCAACGCAGGATCCGAATAGCGTTTCAGGCATAATCACTCGTAATTTAAACGCGTAAAGAACTTAATGACGTTACGCCGTCGTAAAGAATTGTTAAAATGTCAATTGCCTTTGTTCTGCCATAAGTTCTGCCGATTTTCCCTCTGCCACCGCGGATTTCCGATATTCCGCACCACGCAATTCGTTATCCACGCGAAACTAGGATGCGATCTCTAATTGCCTAAGCGATAACGAGTGTGAACTGAGAGGAGGAAGCGAAAATAGGAATGCGAAAAATCCCGAGCAATCTGAATTTGCATATACAACGTTACTCCGAGGGCTCGTTGCGTAGGAATTTTATGGATCTAAATGCGCTTGTATCTCGGGATTATTTAACGCACATCCGAGATACATATATATACAACCGCTAATTACCTTCTGGGGCGATAACTAGCAGGATTTGCGCGAAGTAAAGACGGGAAATGCGGAAAATCGTTCTGCTGGAATTTCACGCATCCGACCACCTCTAACGAACACGATTCGCGAGTACTCGAAAGATCTCGAACCGATCCACGCCGGTGCTTCATCTCGATTCTGCTCGTTACAATTTCTACAAATTTCCGGCCATCTTCCGTTATCGATAAAGTCCATCGCGCATTAACCGACACGTATTTATCGCGTCTTTCCTTCAGTTTTCTTCTCGTAGTTTCGAATCTCCGTTCTGCCCGAGTGGCTGGAATACGTTTACACCGACTAAATAAGTAGGTAAATGAATAAACGCAGTTCGGAAAGTGGTTTAACACCGATCAGGAACGAATCGACAACCCCATCCGTCGTTTCCCCATCATCTGTCCCTTCCGCTGCCTCTCTCTCTCTCTCTCTCTCTCCCAATTTCGTTGCGAGATCGTCGCGGAGATGGAGGCGTGTTGGGAAAAATGAAATTTGGGAATCGTCTGGCGCCTGGACGGTTAACGAAACGCGGAACCCCCGTCGCGAACGTCTTCGTCGGGGGTCGATAAACCGAGTTGCAATTTTAATTTCGGCCTCGGAACCGGCAATTCGGAGAGAGGGGTTGCTCGGCTGTGGAAGGTGAGTCGCGGCGAAACGAACGCAGGATCGTTCTCGCAGCGCACTGTAAAAGCCGTCGATCGTAAACCTTAATTCACCGTGAAGGTAGAAGATCGCGGAGCGAAGGGGGTTGGCCACGGGGTGGGCGAGGGGTGGCGCGGCGGCGAGAGGCGGCCGCGAGAGACAAAAGAAAGGCAGATGGGCACGGTAGAAATCTATGGTGGCAAGAGAACCCGGCGCGTGTAATTATCAGTCAGATCGCTATTCGAATGGATGAATTATATCGTCGCGGTCTGCGGTGCATCGAATGCCCGCTGCCGGCCCGAGGGCCGCTCGTACAACCAGGAATTGACACTCCAAGCTATGCAATTATTAATGTCTCATTTGCATCGGGGATAGATCGACCGTTTCATTGGCAGTTTATTCGCTTCGCTCCTTTTTACCTCCACCCCCACTTTTCCGCCTCGCGCGCCCGTGGAATTTGCTCCGGTTCGATCAGCGGGACAATCCTGACCGCGAGTGACCGTGGACCACGTTTTATGGATCAGTCCGCGTCATACGTATGTACACTCGTATTCGAAAGTATCCCGATGCTTGAACTTCCAGCTTGTACTCCAAAGTTCTACGCGGTAACCGAGCTTCAGTACGCACGTAAATGTAATACACGTGGATAGTAAATAAGTACATTCGTAGGGAAGAACTAGATATTTTCAGCAACTTGGAAAAATAAAAAGTACGTACGTTTAACCCTTTGCACTCGAGAGATGAGCCTAAATCATAATTTAATCAAATTCCGAAGATCTATGTTAATTAACATATCAAGTCTAAAATAACCAAAGATTGCATGGAATGTCGAAATAAAATAATTTTAAGTCTCAATTTATATCCGATTTCTTATTTACCGTTTCAAAAATATCCTCGACGTTACAGCAGAAAGCGTTTGAATTGCTATTTCTCTGTAACGATAATAATCACCGAGTGCAAAGGGTTAATACGCAGCGTTAGCGTTTGCCGGAGATGAAGGTCGTGGTGGCGCTAGTGAGTTAAGTGGAAAGTCCCCCGACGCACTAACGTAACATCGAAGTTTTTTATTACTAAATTAATCTTTCGAGTAACGTTACGAACACTTCTATGATTCACCGAAATACTTTCACGCACGAGTGTCTATACTCGCTCGCTCGAGCGCGTGGGCGTATGGAAAATGGTACGAGTGTTTTCGTTCGTTTGATCGGTGCTCGTTACGAGCACGACGAGGAGAGGCACGGACCCGCGAATGGCACGACGTTCCGTATCTCGAAGGTTTATGAATTCGAAGAAGGCAACCGCGAGTCCGGTGTTTCGTAATCGCCTCGCGATACCGATGTCTGGCGATCGAGATTCTTGCTCGATGTCGGTGTGCTTGATTTTTCGTTAACGTTATGGCGCTGCTCCGTAAGTTCTCCTTGGAAGTCGCGGAACATTATTCATCGACCGATCGATCACTCGTTCGATGTATCGTCTATCGAGAACGTCGACGTTACCTATTTATAATCGGTGTTTCGTTCTCTTCCAACGGGAAACAAAAGAAAGAAAAAAAAGAAAAAGAAAAAGAAAGGAAAGAAAAGAAATAAGAAAAGATCGTATCGTAGAATCCGGAACGAATTAATAATTTCTACGAATACGTTACCCGTTACAAATTCGACGATACAACGTTAATCCGCGATAGTTTGGTGGAAAATAAATAAAACTAAACGGGTAGAGAAACACGCGTGCACGTAATTCGGAAATTACACAGCATCGGACAGAGTTAAATCGAATTCGAAAGACCGTGCAGGAATACAAACATATGATCGAAGCGTCACGCTATGCTACACCACTTTCCGTACAAACTCGGCAATCAGACGTTCGTGTTTCCATGAACGTGGAAGCATTGACTCGCACCACTGCCTCTCTCACGCGCTCGTTAACGTCTCGTGTGTCAGACGCGACAAAGACGAACAGCTCTCTATTATTACTTATTACGGCCAGCTATACGCACCTCCGAGTTAGATCTCTCTTGCCTTCGCGCGATCCCCGATTCGAGGAGCAAAAAGTCGGACGCACCGGTGCGTCATACACCGATCCACGTTGCTACGTACGTTTCACGTGCGTGAGATACATCCGGCCGCGGGTACCGGTGATTTATCCACGCCTTTGGTGATAAAGCATTGCGCAACGGATAATGTTCTGGCCGAGTAAAATGGTGAATCAGATAAAGAACGGCTCTTCCCGCATCCAAGAGAGAAACCCATAAATCAGACGGCTGTCCGTGCTCGAGTATGAGGTGGCCGAATGAAGCGAACGCGCGTTTATTAATTAACCGGCTAGATAAAGTCGCGTAACGGTTAAACGTATCGGTATCTCGATTCCGTGGCTATCACCCGGGCCAGGCCATTGTTCCCTTCCCGGCGCTGCCAGCCAGCCCCCAAGGATCCTTCTACCGCGAACGACAAATGTCCGGAAGTGTACGCGTTATTTACAGCCACGCGGTATCTCGCCTCTCGTATCGTTCCTGCTACGTGTCGCTTTTCGGATGAGGTATCGGTCAGCATCGGCCGATACCGTTAAAATACTTACTCGTTCCGACCCAGGGCAAACACCGGGGCTCCTGTGCCGCGAGATAGATCGATCCTCGGAGACACCGCGTGCTCGCAGTCTTTCCACCTTTCATTTTTCCCCATCGTTTTGTTGCACATCCACGGAGATTTTTAGTTCTCGATTTAAAACAAATTCCGCCAGCCACGGAATGAAATAGACATTCCATTAGACTGGACATTAGACCGGGAATGTGATTCAGATTTACTTAACGATTTATATAAATATAATGGAAACCACGATCCCATTTGCACATAATCATCCCGTTGTGAAATACAGCGGATAGGTTATGTTTTACCGGGATAATGTCTTACAATCGGAATAACTATTAGGTTTTATTTGAATTGCCAAAAGAAAATAGCAGATGTCGCTAGAAGATGTCTAGCAACACGGAGCAGGAGATTAGAACTCTCCAGCACATTTCGACAAACGACTCTGCGTATAGTATATTTCCCGTAATTGGAGAGATAAAATATTTAACAACAAGACAAGTGGTTCCGATCTCTTTGACAGTCCTCGCAGTAACGGTGTATCTCTAACGATTCCTCGCCGAACTAAGCACCTCGATTCCCCTTTATTTCCAACTTAAATCGTGCCGCATTCCCCTGTTCCACGTCCCGATATCAAATTTAATTTCACCGTGAATTAAACATTTCGACTGGCGAAAAATAGTAGCAACAAGCAGCATTGGAACAGCCCTTAAAACGAAATGGAAAGTCGCGGCCGCTGGAGCGGGAGAGGCAGCGATTTTACGATATCTCGTCGCTCGGAGCGCAACGTCGTCAAGCAACGTCGCGTCACTGTCTCGCTACGGGAGGGGGTTAATCCCCTTATAAAATTGTATTATGCAAACGAGGCACCCGTGCAGCCAGAGACAGTGGCGAGTTTCAAGGCAATATCTTACCTCCGTAAGACTCCGCCGAGGAGGCTCGCGTTTAAGCATTCCGGTGGCGATAGTCGTCTTTGTACCTCGGCTACCGTAACTTTGTACTTGCTGGTGCTGCTTAGTAACGATAATCGTCCTGGAACCGAACAGAACACGTCCGAAGGCTGCGCGTTCCCAGTCAGCATCGCCTTCTCGCTCCTGTCCGATGGTTTCATGTCTGCAACAAGCGGACAACACGCGTTTCCAGCTGAGAATTATGCATTTCGCCGATTGGGAATCAATTAACCGGTGTACAGGGACGAGAAAGTGGTTGTTGGACATTTTAATTTACGACGCAGGTGAATTCGATGGGTGGTTAATGAATGTACGCCGATGAAAACGTATGGGGCACCGATCCGTGTGCACGGTGTATAAGGTTTGAGGAATTTCCAATCGCTTTTGCGAAATTGCTGCCGATGGTAATGCAGTGGTTTAGACGGGTGCAGGGTGTATCGGGCTACGTGTTTTGGCGATATTGTCCGGCACACGATAAGTGGCAACGCGAAGATATAATTCTCCGTTTCGATAGGTCGCCGCTTACCGGTTTAGTTCGCTAATAAATATCGATTGCGTAGCACCGGGTAGCTTATTCGCGTCGTGAGGGACTTTAAGAATATCCGAGGGGTATTGCGATATTTACGAATAAAGGATGTAGTCGAGGGATGTGTGGCAATGCTCATTATCGCCGCTCCAAATTTACTTTCTCGCGCGTGCAAGCTCATACAGGCAAAAATGATTCACGGATCTGTGTATCAGAGGCGTAGCTAACGCGTATAATAAACCAGCGAATGGCACTCTAAATCTCGGTATTTAGTGCCTAATGAACGATAAAATTCTCGTTCTTGGAGGGAAAGAAGAGAATATCGTAATCCTGTGTCGAAGAAAATGGTGGCAAAAATCGAAGCCGCGAAAATGACACGCGCATTGTCATTCTTCCCGAGGAGTAATCACTTCGACACCGCGATAGATCGAGATTATTCACTTCTATGCGAATATTCTTGAATGAATTTTATTCCGCTGATGAAAGGAATGCAATAACGCTGTCAAGATTACAACGCTCTGTTCCCGTAAAAGGTCAAAGAGGGTTTAACGAGTGGCCAGCGAAGGAATACCGAAACCGAAGGTTCTTCTGAAATTACCTTATCCCCGGCCAGGCCTGCGTGTATGGGAGCATAACCGTGATATCGGAGCAATATCCGCGAAATATTTTAAATTCGCCGTACCTCGTCCCGTTTTCGTTTCTATGCACCGATAGTCCCGCATTATTGCATCGTTGCTCTGGAATGCTTAATATAGGGCCGCGGGGTTCGGACAAAGCCGTGTTATTACATAGCAAATCGATGGTCAACTTATAACTTTCAACTCTTCGTCGCTGTTTCGCTCGATCGTCAACCGATTTCCAACCGATTTCCAACCGATTCTCAACCGATTTTCAACCGATTTTCAGTCGATTTCCAACTGATATCTCGAAATTTTCTGCGAAAAATATCGCGATGCGACTTTTATCTTTACGTCATCTTGATTTCTTCCCAAAAATTAATCCCAATGCATGAAAATTCCGTTCCATACAGAAGATCTAAGAATTTTCTTACGAATTCTCTTAAATCTTGCAGCAAAAGTGCAACGCAGACGCGGATAGATATCGTGGACTTTCGTAAACGGATCATTTTATTCCCTGTTCTGGTTTCTATTATGTAAGGCTCGAGCGGAGTCGCTGAAATCTCGCGAAATTTGTTGCACCATAGAATACACTCGTACCGGATCATTTCTCAGTCGGAGAATCGATTTCGATTGATGCATGATTCGAGAACACGCCGTGGAACACGGGCCTTGCCTAGTGTTGGTGTGCGTGAAAACGCGAGAGGGAGAAGGAGGCAGAGAGGGAGCGAGAGGGACAGAGAGGGAAGGAGAGCGAGTGGAAGACACAGGAGGAGAGGGAGAAGAGAGTGCAAACAAGTTGTCAAGTAGAATCAATCCGCAACGACGTCTCGATCGGCCGGGTCAAACGGGTAATAAATTTCTACGCGAACCAAATAGGTCGACGTGGGTTTGTTCCGCGCTTATAAATCGTAATCCCGAGAATGAAGCGGTAGAAAATCGTGTAACGGTAAGCAGCCTGTCGACGCAGCTGACCAGACAATTCGGTGGCTTTAGGAAAGTTACGCTGGAACGGGGGACACGTCGATTCGTGCGTTAATAACATTTCCATCGGTGGAACGAGCAAAATCGTAATATTCCATTGCTTTCTAACTTTCACCGTTTCGATTTTGCAATTCGAGCGACTAGCGTGGAAACGATCCGTCGAAAATGTCGGGAAAATGGCGCGAGCGGAGCGGCTGGACGGTTTGGAATTTAATTATCGAATTGGATAAATTACAGTTGCAAAGAAATTCCTGCCCGATCGAGATTCCATCTCGTCTATTGGTAAAAACGTAATACCAAATGTCAGAAGGTACCATTTTAGAGCAGCGGAGAAAAAGAAGAGGAAGGAACGCCGCGACTACCATCGAAACATTCCTCCGGTTATCTCGGCCCGTTATCTCGGTCTCGGTAACGGCACTGGAAGGTGTATTAATTTATTTAATGGGAATAACTCATGCTTTGCTTACGTTAGCCACGGCTACGAAACGTAGTCTCGTAAAACGTGCAATTATCCAGGGTCGTTTTAACCTTTTGCCGGTGTGAATTGTGAAACCGTCTCACTCATCGATGAGTCCGCTATCGGTCAATCGATCGTGAGTTAATTACAAAGGCACGTATCGGTTAATTCAACGGCCACGGGCAGAAATAAACGGTCCCGTGACATTTTCGCCGGTGCTCCCCTTCCCGACGAGATTCCACGGCATCTTGATAACCGTGCGCGGAATATTCCGCTATTATGACAAATGCCTTCTTCTCGCTTCTCTTCCTTTTCCAGAAATTATTCGAAATTACTCGAAAAGTCGGTCATTCCACGATCGATCTTAGCGGCCAAATTGCGATGCAGCGATCAGCGAGTGAAATTACACGCTGAACTTCATTCACGACAGTGATTTGCAAATTGCCAGGTGTACGCGGAAAAACATTTCGTCTCCTTCTTTTTTCCCGTTTAAATTTCGCGCCACGCTCTCCTTGCCGTGCATTACCCCGTGAAGGTTGCGCGCTGATTTATCGCCGCGAAATTATTATCGAGAATAGCGGTAGATCTTATCAGCCGGTGATTCAAGCTTTAATTACGCGATTTAAGATAATCCGGGGATCATCTAGTCCGGTCTGGCCGTCATTCAATTATCCCGCAGCGATCTTTCCAGAGTTTAAAAACCGCGACGCATTCGACATTGGACTATTTCCTCGGATTTCTAATTTTTCGTCTCTCTGACAGGGTAGCAATCTCAGCGATCTAAATAAATCGTCGCGTAAATCAAAATCCGATATCGAAAATAATTAAGGAACCCCGACGCATTCGATATAGGACTATTTCCTTGGATTTCTAATTTTTCGTTTGAAAGACTCTGTCAGGGTCTGCCATTTAAGCGACAAATACCGAAAATAATTAAAGAACCGCGACGCATTCGACATCGGACTATTTTCTCGGATTTCTAATTTTTCGTCTCCCTGACAGGATAGTAATCCAAGCAACAAGTAAATCGTCGCGTAAATCAAAAACCGATACCGAAAATAATTAAAGAACCCCGATGCATTCGATATAGGACTATTTCCTTGGATTTCTAATTTTTCGTTTGAAAGACTCTGTCAGGGTCTGTCCTGTAAGCGACAAATACCGAAAATAATTGAAAAACCGCGACGTATTCGACATCGGACTATTTCCTCGGATTTCTAATTTTTCGTCTCTTTAAAAGGGTAGCGATCTCAGCGATCCAAATAAATCGTCGCGTAAATTAAAAACCGGTATCGAAAATAATTAAAGAAACGCGACGCATTCGACACAGGACCCACCTTTTTCCTCGGATTTCTAACTTTTAGTCTCTCTGACAGGTTAGCGATCCAAGCGATCTAAATAAATCGTGGCGTAAATCAAAAGCCGACACCGAAAATAATTAAAGAACCGCGACGCATTCGACATCGGATTATTTTCTCGGATTTCTAACTTTTCGTCTCTCTGCCAGGCAGGGTCCGTCATCTAAACGGCGAATAAATCCTGGCGTAAGTGAAAAGCCGATACCGAAAATAAGCGGCAGAAGGATGACCCGACGGCGAAAGCGTGATGGTTTGAAATAAAAAATCTGAACGTCGTAAATTTCCCACGCGAATTCGAGATTTACCCGACTAATGAGATTTTCGCTCATCCTTCACGCCGGCTCGGACGAGAGGCGGGTATGGAAAACGCGTGTCCATGGCAGTATCCTCGCCTCGGACCGGCGGCGTCTTGTTTTAGCCCGAGATAACGTCTAGGAAGTCGCCACCAGACAATTTGTCACTCGGCCAACGTGGATATATTGCCGGCGTTGTCGAAACAAAAGTGCCACGAGCCTCGGTCACGACTGCCAGAACCGTGAAAACGAGCAACGTGCTCGCCGCGTGGCGCAGACTAAACGCAGCCTACCTTTATGTTAATTACGATCCTCGTAACGTGTTCATAATTAGAGACGATGCGTTAACGCGAGACGATTCCTCGCGGTAATGGCATAATTCGTGGCTGCTGTGATAATTGCGGCCGAAGGATTTTTCTAATCGGAACCGTAATCAGGTAACTCGGGTGGATGGTACGCTTCTAAAACCTTAACGAACTGCTCGATTAATCGCTATTACTTTATCCTCGAAATATTTATCGTCGCGATAAAACGATAGGATCCTCGTTCCCCGGTGTACAACAAACGAATGCGAATTAATGGAAAAGGAAACTTTAATGTTGCCATATTTCCAACGTCAAAAGAAAACACCGTGGGGGGAAAAAGGGAACGTGGTTCTCGGGACGTGGTAAAATTCGAAAGGTGTAATTAATGAAAGGAGAAAAACGAAGAACGATATTACTTCTGGAGCTATTCATCACGATTAAAGTCTCATTACGCGATTAATTTCGCAAGGAGTTTTTCACTTGCTACTTTCCACGGGCAAAGCGAGCAACGATCGTTTGTCAGAGACATCGAAATCGTATCGGCGGTATCGCAAAGCGTGGGCAGTCAATTAAGCCGTGGAACAGCGATAAATCGTCGCTGCTGTTTGATCGGCTGGCTGAAT